TTCAAGAGTCATCTTGTAGCTGCTCAGCTGCTAAACAGTTTCATCCTACGCTATGGAAAGCTTCACAGTTAAGCCAGTGGCTCTCAATCTTTTTAGATTCAGGGCATCCTTCCACAACTTCTTCAAACATAGCAGCATCCTAGTTGAGTACCACTGCTGAGGTGCCTCAAGTTACCTCAGTGCTTCTCAACCAGGGTGCTCACGTTGCTGGCACTGCTGCCGCCAGTAAAAAGCGTCCTGCGTGCTTCATGTACAACCAGACCAGGAAGGGCTGCAACACATGCACACCTGCCTGCCTACATTAGTGTCATCCAAGAAGCATGAAGCAGGCAGTGCTGCAGCCCTTCCTGATCCAGCCTCACAGGCATCTCCTGGAAATAAAGACATGCAGGACAGTTCTACCAGGTGGAAGATACAGTGCAGGAGCCTGGAGATGAGCACCAGGTGGAACTGGCCCACGTCTCTTTCCAGAAGGGGTGTGTGTTCTTGCCACAGAGGGCTGTGGCAAGAACAAGTGCTTTTATTTTTTTTTATATTAAGGTTCTCTGATAAAAGCAACATAGGCAAAAGGGCCTGCCTGCTTCTGTTGCAGCTGCTTTTTAGTTCAACCCTGACATGCCCCCTAGAAACTGAGGCACGTAGCCAAGTTTTCCCTGCCTACAGCAGCATCGCCCATGTTGCAGTATGCCTGATAGTCTCACATTGCCCTGATGATAGTAACTCTAGGGAAAGGTTGCTCACTTTTAACCAAACAGTGGCAATAATACTCATTTCCAGGACAGCAGTGCTGCCAGATTTCTGCATCCACATTAGGCATACAGAAGTGGAACTGCTGAAAAATCCTACCATCATCAACCTTTAGGAGCCACCCCTTAGACGTTGAAACTTTAGTTCAAGAACTGTTTCTAGCCCATTATGCTGTCTTCAGTCCCATTCCCTTTCAAAAAGTCACTTTTAACATACCAAGAGTCAACACCCAGCTACCATATTCCTCCCATACCACATGGTCCCAGATAAGGCATGTGAAGGCAAAACAAAAGATTTGTCCAGGGTTACGGCTGTACAGATAGGAGCAGACCCTAATCTTCAGCTCATTCGTTGTCCTTCTGCCAATTAACCAAAAACTGAAACCCTAGCTGCTTCTGAAGACTAGTCTCCATGGGTAAATCTGCTAAACACTGAAGAGAACTAAAAAGAGTCTCCAATTCAAATAGGAGGACAGACCCCAAAAGCAGTTTACAGATAGTAAGATTGCCCAAAGAACATCAAGACCATTAAAAGCTGAGGCCATCATTAGCACCTCAAATGACTCTAATTTAGGCAACTGACCTCATACACTAAGTCAACCGACTCCTTCAGCTACCTGAAAGGAGACAGCATGGCTGGCTGCCTGGTGGAACAGGGATCAAAACGGGGTACTTCTATCTGGGCAGAAAATTCAGATCCACCCCTTAGGGCATGGACCCCTATGTTGGGGAACTGACTTGGGGGTAGGGAGGGAGGCGTGTGTGGTATGCAAGTAAATATGGCATTTTTTTATGCTGGTTACTGTAGTAACGAGATCTACTTTGTGCACTTGATCTACAATTTTAAACAGGTCTCATGCTTTCTTAGCTTTTGTCTTTGCCACATGCATTTTCTTTCAACTGAAGCATAACATTATCACACAGTAAAAACACACAGTGCAAAGTGGAGACAAGACTTAGCAATTCAGAGTGAGCAACATCCAACATTTCCTCTGCAGATCTTAAGCCCCGATTCATTACCCTGTGGGAAGAACCCCATGACTCTCCCACTCAGACTGGGGAACTAGGCAAAAGGACCCTGTGCCAACAGTGCTTGTCCCTAACAGGTGCTACTGGACTAAGTTTCTACCGGTTTCCATGCAGAAGCTTACAGTTACCTATGAATTAAGCCACAACCTCTGTAATTCATATTTATCCCTCCTGCATACCCAGAAGTATGTAGGGGGTAGAAAGAGGAAGACCAAATGGAGAAGACCGACTTTATGAGACCACCAGAATGGGAAAATTATCATTCAGATTTCAAATAGGAATCCATAGCATCAAAACTTTTCTGACCTATTGCACGCTCTTTGGGTTTTTGTAAAATAAAGAACTGCTCTATAATTTTTCCTTTAGTCAAAAAACAAAAAACAAAAGAAAGCTGACATTTGGCAGTTTGACGGCTACCTTGAATCTAAAGAGGCTGAGAACCACGGGCCTCTGCCAAGGGAAGATAATCAATCCTGAAAAAGGCCATCTGCAAGCCTGGGATAAAAAATGCAGATAGCATCTGAAGTCTTACACCAGTTAAGTCTTGAGCATTTGTGCAGAAATCTCACCTGAACTGCTGTTAACATTGTCGGGTACATTTCTTAATCCTCTCGTTATGAAAGGAACAACATATATACACACACAGAAAACACTTTTACAAACATGGAGCATTGTGTGTTCATAGGATTACTAAAATGCAAGTCCAAGTTGAATCTGGGTCTTTTAACCAAGAAAGCTGTGCCAACATATTCCCCTCCTACATACCAAAGTAAAACCACACAGGCTTTTCTCCACATTTACACAATGAGAAAGCATTAACATGCATTTGTTATCCACTAATCAAGGCACCTCTCTTTTAGTAAATGAAGACAACTTCAGTTTGAAAGTGCCCAACCACAAAAAAAAAAAAAGATTAAACATTTTTTTTTTATCCACAAATCAGGCCCCCTCTTTTTTAGAAAATGAAGACAACTTCAGTTTGAAAGTGCCCAACCACAAAAAAAAAAAAAAATGTAGAGCACTGACATTTGAGATCTGCTGCATAAAATAGAACTTTATTTCAAAAGAGTCATTACAAATAGTACCGTACTGATCATATTAATTTCCATGTCCACCTAAACAACAACTCAATTATTTACCTAATCCTACGAACATGCCTAGTTTACCACTCCATCGGGCCACAGGCCTTAGGAAGCTGTACCGCATAGTTTAGGGCCAATGCTGCCTGTCAAGTATCACAAGCTTTAACTTGCACAGAGGAGAAACTGAGCAGACTTGGCCTCAGAAACAGTGGTTCTCAGTCATTTCTGAATTGAAGGTACACCCTGCTGGACTCAAGGTACCCCTTAGAAAATACCAGCTCTCACTTGGGTTTTGTTTTGGTTTTTTTTATTAACATGAAAAATAATAAAAGAGCTCTCTATTTTACAAATAACTCAAAGTGCACAACAAGGCAGGACGTTTTTTGATCCCCATCGTTCCCTATTTGAAATCTCTGGGTTGATCTTATGAATCATGTGCAGGTATCTGCACAACCAGCACTACTTATACTGCACAGCAAACTGCAGTGTCCTTCTCGCCACACCCAGGTTGAGAATCACTGCCTTAGAGCTACTGTATCAACAGCATTTGAACATAGGGAAGGGGAAGGGATACCTTGCAACTTCCACCAGGTACAAACCCAAACTAATTAGTCATGACCCTTTAGAAGAGGAGGAGGCTTCGTGAACACTATCTGCAAATGATGCAGTTTCAAATACAGCTCAAACATCAGCACTCTTAACAGTTCTCTCTCCTGCTGGGATCATGTGTCAGCTGAGTACTGCTGCAATTCGTTGAAGGAACAGGGTTCTTAAAAAGCCAGAAGGCTGGTGAAAATATACGCAGTGAAATATCTGAAGGGTACTTTGAGCTAAATAACTAACTAACATACCCCCACCCCTTTGAGCTAAATAAATAACTAACATACCCCCACTTGCACTCTCACTTACAGTGTACTCCCAAATAAGTTAAATATGCACCTAATTTCTGAAAAGCAGAATTATTTCTTTTTTCTTAAAATTGTTCTTTATAGTAACCAAGTAGCAGCAACAAGGGAGCTGAGCCCTCCCGTTCTGCTCCCTGTGGATCACTGCAGGACTTTACTGTCACTTTTGCTGGTAAGCAGCAGAAACATGTCTTAACATATTTCTTGTACATAACGTGCACTCCAACTTTTAACAGCTGCTTCTAGGAAAAAGGTGCACGGGGTATGCAAGAAAAATGGATTTCAGGAGTCTGAGAAAAATCGCTCAAAGGTTTCATTAACTGCAATCACACACTCAAAACTTGTTCTTTGCCCTTTGAGCTGGGAAGATTTTAAAACTAAATAAACAATCACCGGTTACAAAGATGCTATCTGAATTAATTGCTTAACATCAAAGGAGAAATAAGTTTACAAAAGGCCCACTTACAGTGGCAAATATACTTGGCCTCTGTTTCATAATTATCAAGGCAACTGCAACTGTAGAACTAGCCTTCAGGATTCATCATTTCCTTTTGAAAATGAAATCACCCAAAGCATTTAACCTAAGTTTAGGTGAGTATAGTTAACCTAAGTTTAGGTAAGTACAGTTTGGAGACTATAAAACTTCTACTCTCAAAAGCAAGATCCAGTCAGAAGAGGCACAATTTTGACACTTTCTCATTTCAAGTCAAGCGTGTTTGCCTACTGTAGGCTGCTCTGAGCCTTTCGGAAAGGGCAAGGCATAAATCAGATAAACAATAATAAACTAATAATGCGTGTCAAGCCTCTTCCAGTTAGGTCCATATAAAGCTTTTAGAGTGATGTCAGGTAACTGCTGCATTCTTACAGTTACACCTCTAGAAAAAGCTATAGAAAATGTGGTGCAGGAGACAGGAGACACAATTGGTTCCTACCCAAGACAAAAGCTAGACTTCCTGTCATAAAGAACCTAATGGTAGTCATTCGTTTGGTACAAGAACAAAAGACAGAACAGTGTGAGAAGCAAAGAAAAAAAAAAAAAAAAACAAATTTCGATTTCAAATCAATAATAATGCACAAGGACCTAAAAAGGTCCTGGAACTCATTCCCAAAAACTTCAGAGACGCTGCTTATTACTTTTACAGCCTACAGTTATGAGAGGAGGAAGGCAAGGTGCTGCATTTACTGCAGTCAAAGTACACACACAGCTCCTCCAGAGCATTTCACCACATAGATCTTACCATTTGTCGATATTCCCGAATCATTTTTAGTTTATCTTCACCACCCTTGTTTTCTTCTTTTTGTTCAATGCTGCTGATTATTCTCCAGGAAGCTCTTCTAGCTCCAATCACATTTTTATACGCAACAGACAGCAGGTTTCTTTCTTCCACTGTCAACTCCACATCCATGCCAGCCACTTTCTTCATTGATTCAACCATTTCTAAGAGAAAAGAGATCATTAGACAGGCATATTAAATATACTTTTCAAAACACTTCCGAATCACCCATTTACTTTATTCCTGTCAAAACTTAAGTTGAGTTCAAATCCATTCAATAAGAAAGTCACTGTAATTTCCAGAATTTAGTGTTATAAACTCAGCTTGGCAAACTGGGTTCAATCCCACCTTTAATTTCTAGAATCAATCCTACACCTTTCCCATGTAAAGTGAGAATGCTTCTGGAAAGCAATTTGTACAGAGCCGTGAGAATTATGGATGGCCTTAAACCCCCTTTGTACAGCATTAAAAAGCACTACTGATGTTTTCTTAGTATTACTGCGTTTTATTTTTGAGAACTCGATTTCTGCAAGTTACGGCTGTACGTACACCACTGAACACATACACTGATCTCACCTGATTGGCTCGTCAGTTTTTCCATACCTATCTACCTCTGCATCTGAAAACAGTCCAGCTACATCCTCTTTGCAACCCCCCTTCAGGGATTTTAATAGATTCATGGATTGTTAGAGGCTGGAAGGGACCTTACAAGATCATTGGGTCCAGCCCCCCTGCACTTGGGCAGGAAAGACTGCTGGGGTCCCAGCAAGGTGGGCGTCAAGACGCTTTCTGAAGATCGCCAGGGTGGGCAACTGTACCACCTCTCGGGGGAGCCTGTTCCGGACCCTTGGCACTCGATGTGTAGAGTTTTTCCTTATGTCAAGGAAGAAGCAATCTTCAATCAGTTTGCGTCCAGTTTGACTTGAAGGCTGCTATCAAATCCCCTCAGTTTTCCCTTCTCTACACTAAATAACCCGTTTCCTCAGCCTCTCCTCAGAAGTCATGTGCCCCACTCTCCTAACCATTTTCCTTGCCCTCCATTGGACTCTACTCCAGATGTGGCCTCACCCGTGCCAAAGAGGAGGGAAGAATCACTTCCCTTGATCTGCTGGCAACACTCTTACTAATGCAGCCCAGTATGCCATTAGCCTTCTTGGCAACAAGGGCATACTGCTGGCTCCTATTCAGCTTATTGTCCAGTGTCACCGCCAGGTCCTTTTCTGCAGAGCTGCTGCTTCATTAGTTGGTCCCCAGCCTGTACTGTGCATGGCATTGTTCCATCCTAAGGCAGGACTTGGCACTTGCCTTTTTTGAACCTCATGATATTTCTTGGGGTCCAATCCTCCACTTTTGTCTAGGTCTTTCTGAATCCTAGCCCCATCCACTACTCACAGCTTGGTGTTATCTGGAAACTTGCTGAGGGTGCAATCCATCCCATCTTCCAGGCTGCTGAAGACCATGAACAAAACCAGCCCCAGGACCAACCCCTGGGACATCCACTTGATAGCAGCTGCCAACCAGACAGAGCCATTAATTACTACCCCTTAAGCCCAACAATTCAGCCAGTTTTCCATCTACCTTAGAGTCCATTCATCCAACCCATACTTAATTTGGTTGCAAGAAAGCTGAGAGAGACCATACCAAAAGTTTTGCTTAAGTCAAGGTATATCACATCCACTGCTCCCCCAGTGTCCACTAAGTCAGTCATTTTTTCATTAGAAGGCAATCAGGTTGGTCAAGTATGATATGCTCTTGGTGAATCCATGCTGACTGCTCCCAATTACTTCCTCCGCCAAGCGCTTAGAAATGGATTCCTTGAGGACCTGCTCCACAATTTTTCCAGGGACTGAAGTGAAGCTGATGGGTCTGCAGTTCCCCAGATTCTCCTTCTTCCCTTTCCTAAAGATAGCCACTATATTTACTCCTTACCAGCTGTCCAGGATCTCTCCCAATTGTCGGACATTTTCAAAGAGAACGGCCAACTCCCTCAGAACCCTCAAGTACGCTGCGCCTAGCCCCATGGTTTTGTACACATCCAGTTTTCCTGAATAGTCCCCAACCCGTTCTTTCACCACTGATGACTGCTCACCTCCCCAGACTGTACTGTCAGGTAGGTACAAGTAGTCTGGGAGCTTGCCTGTGAGGACTAAGATTAAAAAGGCATTGAGTACTTCAGCCTTTTCTGCATCCTCTGTCACTAGGCTGTCTCCCCCATTCAATGAAGGACTCATAGTTTCCCAGATCTTCCTCTTGTTGCTACCACTTGTAGAAACTGTTACATTTCATGTCCCCTCTCTGCAACTCCAAACGCACTCTGGCCTTCCTGATCCCTGCGTGCCCAAGCAATACTCTTACAGTCTTCCCTAGTAGTTTGACCTATTTTGACCTATTTTCCACTTCTTGCAAACTTCCCATTTGTGTTTTAGCTCACTGAAGAGTATCATATATTCATCAAGTTAAGAACTTAAGAAAAATACTGTTTTCGAACAGTTTGAGTAGAAGGTGCTTCCATCTTAAAATGACATATTAAATTAAGGGCAACCATCTGGTTTAAAGGGTAAGCTTAATAAAGTACAAAATCAATATAAATGACAAGCATCATTCATCTTAATGTGGCACTATGAACTCATTTGAAAGAAATACAACTAAAAACTGTTTTAAAAACTAGACCAGAATAAAACCTGGTATATTATTTTTTTAAATCAACACCATTAAATAGTTCTCCAGATTCATGTGGCTCACTAATATATTTTTAAGACAGTCAGGGTCAACCTTTTCGGCAGGTGCGCCAGAAAGTATCCCTACACCCTCCACAAGCGCTACTCTGATCGCCTCCCCCTAACCCATCTGCCCCTCTGCTTTCTTTTCTCATCCCTTTACACTCTGCCTGATCTGCTTCTCTGCTTTCCACTTCCTTCCCTGTGCTCCCAGACTGATTTACTGTTTTGCTTTCTACTTCCTCCTTATCTGATACTATGCTGCCTGCCCCCTCCCCAATCTGACGCATGACACACACACACGGGCTACCTGTGCCACTGTGGCACCTGTGTTGCCATTGGCCACCCCTGCTGACTGAAATTAAACTACTCCACACAAGGAAGGAAATATTTTGATGCCGAAAGGTGGACAAAACCTGGCTCCCACTCCTAAAAAAGCAAAAAACAAAGTGTCTAGATGGCCAATGACTTCAGCAATTTCACAAGATCAAAATTACTATTCTGGCAGCAAAAATACATTTTCAGCTGATTCATTTGGAGTCCAAAGTTTGATCATGACTATTCTGATATGAAAAAGTTAAAAGATATTCACACAGCAACAAAAGCCACAAATACCTCATAACAGAACTTGGAAGTATAGGGTGGTAACTCTCAACCAGGTGTTGCAAATTATTTTGAAGGGTGCCCAGAGGTGTAAGGAGATAAGCAGGTAAGTGTAGGCTCAGGCTTTTTCCTGCCTGGCCACTAACGCAGCCCCGCTACAGGAAAGTAAGGACCATAACACAATTTTTGAAATAGGGTGGCACTCAACTGGTGCCAAGTCCATCAAGATTGAGAACCACTGGCATTAGCTCTTTTGCTCTGTATTAGGTTAACCCTGCCCCAACCCCCTGCCTGAAACTTGTATACCTCTTCTTATGTGAAGGGACACCATTTGTTATTGATTCAGTGCAATTTATGTTTCACCCTAAGGGAATAGCAGGTGAGGCATACAGAATACTTCATAAGCAACTTTTGAAATACAGCACCAATGTAAAAAATATTTTAAGATTAATCTATCTACAGGCTTAAAAATGACAGGCAAAGAACATATAAGATGTACACTTTCTTCTGTCCTTCATATTTTTTTATATGCATTGGTTATTTCAGCCTGTAGTTACTTACTATATGTCCCCAAAAGGTATGTATTTCTTGTTGGTGAAAAGCAAAATGAAGTAGCAAGGAAATACAAAAGGTGGGGGAAGGGTTCTTTAAACAAAGGGTGCATCAAGCTGCCTTGCCCCCCACCCCTCCCAAGACTCAGTCAGGACCATGGGGTTTCTTGAGGGGCCAGATCCAGACTCACCTCTGACAGCAGGATGTGGTGACGGCACTGACTGCTGCAGACACACTCAAACAGTTACAACAACCTGTTTAGAACTGCCAATACTCAGCTGTATTTCATACAGCACAGCCTGTTCATGGCCTGCTGCCAAAAGACCCTTTAGTATTCCTAGTATCCCATTACCACTGGACATGCACAATTCCAATTTCTGACTTCACCCATCTGTGCACAAGAGAACCCCTGGACAGGTTACAGAAAAAAGCCTCTTCACCCTTTGCCTTATTGGAAGACAATGCACTGTGATGGGCTAAAACAGCATGTAGCCCATGGGCTGAATATGGTCTATAAGCGGTATTCAGGTGCATTTGGTGGGTCACACAGACCATATGTAATCTAAGCTTTTTCTTTTAAACTAAAATAAAAATAATAATTAAAAAAATCTGGCCGTCACAGCTGAAGAGGCAACCTGTCAAATATGAACCAAGAGCAACAGAGAACAATGTCTGTCTGAGTCTGTGGACAGCCTGACATAGTGATTCAAGAGGAACAATCCCCTGCCCCCAAATTAATCTTACCGGAATGTCTCTCTCCCAGCCCACTGACAACCACTTCAATGTCAACATTATGTCACAGCTCATTTTAGCACACTGGAATGGAAACTGGAATTCTTTTGCAGGGAATTAAATTCAGAGGAAACAAAAAAAAGAAGAAAAACTCAAAGCGAGAAGAAGGAGCAAAACAGAAGAGAGAACAGGACAGAAAGAGAAAGAAAGGACTGAAATATTCACAACCTGAGGAAGAGGGGAATTTACTTGCTAAGAAACTGATATGACCAAAATGCATATAATTAGTGCATAAAGAACAAACTCTCCTCAGAACATCTGTGCAAACCTCCAACAGAAAAGTGGACACTGAAAGCATATATACTCCCAAATTAAAAGATGCCATCAAAACACTCAGCTTTCAAATGAATTTGATCCCTTTGCTCTAGATCTCTATTACATATATTAGAATTTCTGTTCTCTTAACTTTTGTTACTGAGGACAGCCCTACAGATGGGAATGGAATCTACATCTGAATCCCAGACCCTCTGCTCAGTCTCTCCAAAGAATCTACCATGGTTATGCTGTTTGTAAAAGGGGCTTACCTTG